GAGTTGTAATGTCAGCGGTCAGGGGAGTTGCTTCAGGAATAGGAGCGGCGAAGTCAGCAGTGGGAGGAGTTATGTCAGGGAAATGAGATGTAATGTCAGCAGTGAGATGCGTTAAATCAGTAAATTGAGCTGTAACATTCGCAGTGTGGTTGCTTACACATGCAGCCCCGTGTGATGGTAGCTGTTCAGTGCAGAGAAGGGACGTGGGGGCGTGCTGCTGGTTTTGGTGTAGCTGTTGCTGCTGCTGTTGCTGCTGCTGCTGTTGTTGCTGCTGTTGATGGTGCTGTTGGTGGTGCTGTTGTTGGTGGTGCGGTTGTTGCTGCTGCTGTTGCTGCTGCTGTTGGTTCTGTTGCAGTTGTTGCTGATGCTGTTGTTGCTGCTGCTGTTGGTTCTGTTGCTGTTGTTGATGATGCTGCTGCTATTGCTGCTGGTGGCTTTGTTGCTGCTTCAGCTGCTGTTGTTGATGCTGCTGCTGCTGGTGCTGTTGCTGTTGCTGCTGTTGTTGTTGATGCTGCTGCTGTTGGTGCTGGTGTTGTTGCTGCTGCTGCTGCTGCTCCTGGTGCTGTTGCTGTTGCTCCTGTTGCTGCTGCTGTTGGTGATGATAGGTATGCTGGAAGAGCTGGGGCTGAACCGTCTGCTGCTGCTGCGGCTGCTGCTGTTGCAGCTGCTGCTGTGCTTCCAGAACACCTGACCTTAGACTGTCAGCAAAGGAGTATCCTTTTTCTCCTGCTGTTGTTGTTGCTGCTGCTTCTGCTGGTGGTGCTGCTGCGCCCACTCGTGCATGGGCCATGTCTAAGTACCTGCCGTTGTTGTTGTTGTTTGTGATGCTGTTTCTGTTGCTGCTGATGATGGTGATGCCTGGCGATTGCAAGGGAGGGAGAGGACGAAGAAAAGATGGGCGAGTAGTGGAGAAACGGGTGGGCGGAGGAGGGAGAGGAGGGGGGTGATGGAGTGAGGGGAAGGTGGGAGAGCCTGACGTGAGAGGAGTATGGAAGACAGGAGGATGGGGGTTATTATAGGCAGCTGTAACAGGAGCAGGAGGCACTGCAGCAGGAAAAAGAGGCACTGAAGCAGAAGCAGTAGCAGAAACAGGATTCACTGTAGCAGGAGCAGGAGCTGTAGCGGGAGCGAAGAGCACTGTAGCAGAAGCAAGAGGCACCGTGGCAGGCACATCAAACGTAGCCGCGGGCGATTCAAGCAGTTGTAGCGGTGGCCTGAACTGGAAACATAGAGTTTGGCCTGCGGTTGCAGGGGTTGCAGGGGTTTCTTGTCCAAGTGTCGCGGGAGAAGGTGAGGCAAAATAATGGGCTGGTTGCGGGAGGTGTGTGGACAGGGAGGGCGGCGATGGAGTCTGGGTTGCTCTGAGAGCTGTCTGCTGCTCAGCTGCTGCGCTAATGGCAGGGAGGCTGCTAGTATCAAGAACGGAGGCTGTGGCAGAGGCGAAGGCTGTAGCAGAAGTAAAATCTATAGCAGATTTGAAAGTTGTAACAGGGGAAACGGCTGAACCCGAAGCTAAGGTCGTGGCAGAAGAAAAGGTTGTCGCGGGAGTGAAGTTATTCGCAGGGGGAACTGTAGCGGTAGAGGCAACGGTTATAGCGGCAGAAGTGGGGTCTGCTGGCGTGGGAAGGCAGCTGACGGCCGGATGCCCTGCAACATGCACCTTGGGAGCTGCTGGCGCGGGCGGCAGGTGGTTGTGTGAGCCAATATATGACACCCGCACCACCACACGCATCTCCGTCCTGTCCGACCCCGTATTGATTTCTTCCGCCCGTCCTGCTACAGCCAGTCTGGCTGTAGCTGCAGCACTGGAAACAGCTTTAATTGATGTAGCACTGGCTGTAGCGGGCGCTTTTGCAGTGGCTGCAGCTTTTGAGACGGCGCCTTTCAGCATGGGGCAGCGAGGGTGACGAGCCTCGCCCGCTATTCGATCCTCAATTTTTTTTGCCGGGCAGCCCATGACGTGCTTGGACGAGCAAACGAAGTAGAGCCTGCGAGAAGGAAGGGAGAACCGGGGCACACGGCATAGCAGGAGACGAGTGAGAAAACGTACAGCCCACATGCCAGTTGAGAACTTCTCTTGAAAGCAATGAGAAAGCAAGGCACATTAGCTGCGTAGCTGGTGAGAGGCGACCAGAACCGTCTGGAGCTGATCAGAGCCGACCAAGGGGGATCAGCGCCGATCAGCTGGGTGCCGACTAGAGTGCCGACAAGAGTCGAATAGCGCCGACAAAAGTCGAATGGAGCCGTCCAGAATCAAATTGTGCCGACCAGAATCGAACAGCGTTGAACAGAGTCAAATAGCGCTGACCAGAATCTAATAGAGCCGACAAGACTCGAAAGCACCTAGGAGTCTAGTGCCGACCAGAGTCGACAAGTGCCGAACAGAGCTGGCCCGTGCCGAGAAGTGCCAACCAGCTGAGACCAGTGCCGTTCAGTGCCGAGCCGAGTAGAACCAAACAGAGCTGATTAAAGCCGAGCCGAGCCGATTAGAGCCGAGCCAAGCCGAACAGAGCCGAGTAGAGCCGAGCGGAGCAAAGCGGGGCAAAGCAGAACCGAGCAAATCTGGATACATCTGCATTGCTCACAGCTGTTACACCAGTTAACATCGGCCCAAATGGTGTCATGGGATGACATGACATGTGCATGAAGTGATCCCTCTGTGCCTGCATACAGTGATCCCTCTGTGCCTGCATACAGTGATCCCTCCGTGCCTGCATACAGTGATCCCTCTGTGCCTGCATACAGTGATCCCTCTCTTGCGCATGCATTCAGAAATGTCGCCTGCCAGTCTTGTTACTCAGCGCGATGTGTGTGCGACAGACCGGCTTCTTACGATTCGTGCTTGGTCATAGGCCGCCATACCTCTTTCACACGCTGACCCGATACTCGCTTTACCTTCTTCACAGGGTGACTCAATACTCACCTTACCTTTTCACAGGCTGACCCACTAATCGCCTTACCTCTTCACAGGCTGACCACCTATTCGCCTCACCTCTTCACAGGCTGACCCGCTATTCGCTTGTGCGACGTCTTCTTCCATTTGAATTCATCAGATGTGTGGTTCTGCTGCTGCTGCTGCTGCTGACGTGGAAAATCTCGATCAGATCTTTCGCCCATTTGCAAATCCTGTATTCCGGGTGCCAGGTCATGCGCGCCATGGTGCTGTGCCTCCGCCTTCATTGGCGGTGATAACAAGTGCTGAAATTGCTGCTGCTGCGATCCCGCGGTGGCGTGACTTAATTGCGGCGCCGCGGCGGCGTCGTCACTGATCTTCCCGTTGCAATGATGGGGCTCAGATTTGAGCATCCAACTAGCACTACAAGTACTAGTAGCAGAGGCATGGCCAGCACCAGCGCTAGCGGCGCCAGCTGCGGCAGCGGCTGCGTGCATCGACTCTGCCGGCGCTGGTGGCGGCGCACAATGGGGCGGCGGCGAGTGAAACATCCTCGCGCCGCGCGAAAAAGGATTGACTCGCCGTCTCGGGCAGGTCAAAGCAGGACTCCTGCAATAAACGACTCCCGCCGAGTCGTTTCCGCCGACACGGGCACGGGGGGCATAGTAGTACCACTAGTAGTACGGCTAGTAAGCGCCTCGACGCTGTGGGACTCACCCGGGCCGCGGTATGCGGAAAGGCCAGAAGTTGTGCGTATTCGGAATGCAAGACCGCTACTGGATGATTACTAAGACATGAACTTCAAGTTTTAGGTTTTCAGGTGTGAACCTTATGGATGATGCGAGATTGATGATGATCATCGGCCTAATCTGCATTCCCTGATCCGAATTATTGGAATCACCTGACGCGTCAGTGCGACTCACAGTGGGAGGGAAGTGGACACGATAATAGTGTGGCAGAAAAGCGCGTGAAAGCCGCGGATGGGTGGGGTTAAATTTTTGTTCATTTACAACTACTATGGAAGGTTCAAATCGCCGCGCAATTGTATAAGGTGGTGAAAAGATAAAAACGTTCCCAAACATGGTGGACCGTATTCCATAAATATCAAACCACACTTGTTGAACTCATCAGAGCGCCATGCTGCACTAGCTGTAGTGCCATGCAACAAACAAACAGCTGATTCTTTGTCAACCAGGTCTGTCGATTCCAACCCAATCCCCGTTGCACTTCTCTCCCTCGATCCTTTCCTCCACCTCCCCACCCTCTCGAAGGCTCCCTAATATTAACACAATACAGTACACCTCTATCCTTCTATGTCCTAGACTGGTATTGGGCGACGTTCGGTTCTTTTTCCTTTCCAACCACCATGATTACGGCTTAAGGCTTTGCAGTGCCGTCACTGTTTGGTGCCATACTGTTCTTCGACGTGTGAGGTGCAGTGATGTACGAGAGAGGATGTGAAGGATCCATCAGGACGTCTCACGTGTGTTTTTCCAGAAGAACTGAACGTAAGAAGGACCGTCAGGTATTTTACACATGAAATAATTAGTTCGTGCGGGACGCCCATTCTCCACCTCGTGCTTGTGACGAAATGTCTTCACCTGCTTCCTGAAACCTGGTCCTTCCGTCGACGAAACACTCAAGCTCAATCGTGCACCTGGCCTAGTATCTGTCGTTCATGCTCATATTTCGCACAACATCGTGTCGCGACGTAGTGAAGCGCTCACATCACTAAGAAACATACACTAAAAAAATATCTGTATTATCATTAACATTACTATTATTTCGACGGCTGTCTCCACAATGAAGCCTCTAAGCGTTCACATGCCGTCGGAATACGTAGAAGACGAGGAGCCTTCGCCGGCCTTTCCTCAAACCAGCCTAATCCGTCGAGACCGGGACGACGAGGAATCCCATTATGGTAACAATACCAGGGTAAATCCCCCGGAGCCGCCGACAAAAGCCTGTCTAATCGGCCTAACGATCTTCGTCTGTCTCTTAGTCCTCCTCGCGGTCCTAATCGCCATCTGGGGCTTCAGACCAGTGGCTCCTGCGGCGGGAGACGCGGCGATGCAGGCGGAGGGGAAGCAGGTCGACGCGAGCGCAAATGGCGGCGCAAATGGCGGCGCAACTAGCGGCGGCTCGGGGAGCGCGGGGAGCACGGGGGGAAACGGTCAGGCTCCCCCGCCTGATCCGCCATTGCACGACTACAAGGCGGCTTTGAACCTGTGCCTCGATTTCTTCGACGCACAGAAGAGCGGCGACCTGGGGCTGTGAGTGTTGCTGCTGAATGGTGAGTGCTGTGAGTGTTGCTGCTGAATGGTGAGCGCTGTGAGTGTTGCTGAGTGTTGAGACTGCTCAATGCGGTCAGGCTCCCCCGCCTGATCCACCATTGCACGACTACAAGGCGGCTTTGAGCCTGTGCCTCGATTTCCTCGACGCACAGAAGAGCGGCGACCTGGGGCTGTTTTTGAGTCGACTCAAAAGCGACCTGACACTGTGAGCGTTGCTGAGTCTTGAGCCGTGCTGAAAGGCCTTAACGTCTCACAAAATGTTTCAACGTCTCAAAGGCTTCACCCCTTTGCGTTGACTTCTTAGGCGCGCGGAGGAGCGGCGACCTGGCGCTGTGAGTAAAGAAGGATGCACCGCTGTTAGCCCTGTTCAGTAATGAGACAGGTATGCGTAGCTTTCTAAGTTCCAACTTCCAATCGGCTTCAACAACTTAGAAAGCTTCAATGTCTCAAAAAACTTCTCCGTCTCCTCACATTTCGCATCCCTCCGCGCCTCTGTTCCCCCCCGCCTGCTCACCCGCCTCTCTCCTACACCTCTTACACCCCCCCTTTCCCCCTCTGCAGCACCCCCCACCCCCCCTGGCGCAACAGCTCGCATGTGCAGGATGGGAGCGCAGTGGGGCGAGACCTGGCAGGGGGCTGCTATGGGGATAGTAAAGCAGATGGAGTATCATTGCAAGTTCTCCCTTACATCTCCTCCCTCGCCCTCGCTCTTTTCCCCCCTCTCCCATCCCAACCCCCCCTCCCCTCTCCCTTCCCTGCTCTCTCCCCCCTTCCACAGCACCCCCCACCCCCCCTGGCGCAACAGCTCTCACATGCAAGACGGAAGCGCCGTGGGGCGAGATCTGGCAGGGGGGTACTATGTGGATGGGGGGGGGGTGAAGCAGACGGGGGTGACTGCATTCGCTATGAGCATGCTGGCTTGGAGCATAGTGGAGTTCGAGTGAGTGCTTATGTGGGGTACGGGTGGGTGGGTATATGGGGCGGGCACGGGTGAGTGTTTATATGGGGTACAGCTGACTGTCTTCACTATGAGCATGCTGGCTTGGAGCATAGTGGAGTTCGAGTGAGTGTTTATATGGAGTACGAGGGGTGGGTTATATGAGGTGCGGTTGAGAGGTTATATGAGATACGGGATATAATGGTATGGTATGGTATGGTATGGCATGGCATGGTATGGTATGGTATGGTATGGTATGGTATGGTATGGTATGGTATGGTATGGTATACCAGTGCCCAACCATCCCCCACTCCCCCTCTCCCTCTCCTAGTCCTGAGCTCGAGACCACAGGCTTGAAGCAGCGGGCAGTGGACCTGCTCAAATGGGGAGTGGACTGGCTGCTCATGGCGGAAATGGGCCGGGGCGGTGTCGTGGCATAACCACTTCCTCTTCCCCTCCCTCCCCGCCCCCCTTCTTCTCTTTCCCCCTTCCAGTCCCGAGCTCGAGTCTTCTGGGTTGAAGCAGCGGGCAGTAGACCTGCTCAAATGGGGAGTGGACTGGCTGCTCATGGTGGACCTGGGCCGGGGCTGTGCCGGGCCTCACTTCACCCTCTCTGTATTCCCCCCTTTCCCTCCGGTCTAGTCCTGAGCTTGAAACCACAGGGTTGAAGCAGCGAGCAGTGGACCTACTCAAATGGGGAGTGGACTGGCTGCTCATGGCGGATCTGGGCCGGGGCTGTGTTGTGGCGCAAGTGGGTGACTCTGCCGCCCAGAATTCGTGCTGGCAGCGGCCAGAGGACGACTCCACCGCCCGGCCCGTGTACACTGTGGTGGGCGCGAACGGGCCGGGGGCGGCGGTGCTGGCTGACATGTCAGCTGCCTTTGCTGCTGGTGAGATGCCTTTGCTGCTGGTGAGGTGCCTTGGCTGTTGGTGAGATGCCTTGGGTGTGGGTGAGGTGAGATAGTGTGTGTGAGGTAAAGTCCCAGGATGAGTCTATCCTTGAGTGTGGGCTTGAGGTATGCAGTATGCCTGATTTGGGGGGAGGAGGGGCTGCGAGCAGCAGTTCTGACTGACATGTCGGCCGCCTTTGCTGCTGGTGAGGTGCCTTGGCTGCTGGTGAGAAAGTGTGTGTGAGGTAAAGTCCCAGAATGAGTCTATCCTTGAGTGCGTGCTTGAGGTATGCAGTATGCCTGCTTTGGGGGGAGGAGGGGCCGGGGGTGGCGGTTTTAGCTGACATGGCTGCTGCCTTTGCTGCTGGTGAGATGAGATGGTGATTGTGTGCAGGAGAGTGTGTGTGTGAGATAGCGTATGTGAGATTGAGGCCTGTGTACACTTTGGTGGGCGCGAACGGGCCGGGGGCGGCGGTTCTGGCTGACATGGCTGCTGCCTTTGCTGCTGGTGAGATATTTTGTGCGCGCGGGAGTGTGTGTGCGAGTTAACGAATCCCAGATTGAGTGGCAGAACGAGTCTGTCCTTCCAGCAGAGAGAGGTGTGTGTTCATGAGGTGGTTTAGGTTGTGGCAGTTTGGCAGCACTCAGTCCGTTGTGAGGCTTAGGAGGCGAGGCGCCACTGATGCCTTGGCTAGTCACAACGGAGGCCCAGCGCCGGGTGCGGCAGTTCTGGTGTGGCTGACACCACTGATGCCTTGGCTGCTGGTGAGATGAGAATCATGAGATTCCTTGGCCGCATACGCCTCCTTGCTGCGGACGGAATCACAGAGCACTCCCCACACTTCCACTCCTCATATACTCCCACCCCCCTTCTCCCCCCCTTCTCCCCCTCTTCTCCCCCTCTTCTAAAGCCGCCTCGCATGTACTCGACGAGTTTAACCCCGGATATGCCGCCTTGCTGCGGGGCAACGCCGCCATTCCCAACACCCGCTTCTTTCCCCCTCTGTGACCCCACCACTTTCGCCCCTCGCCCCCTTCTCCCCACCAACACCCCAGCCGCACATGTGTTTGGCGAGTTTAGCCCCGGATACGCCGCCTTGCTGCGGGACCACACCACCATTCCCAACTCCTGCTACTTCCCCCTCTGTGCCCCCACTTCCATTCCATCCCTCGCCCTCCCCTCCTTCCAAACCAGCCTCACATGTGTTTGGCGAGTTTAACCAAGGATACGGTGCCTCGCTGAGGGACCATGCCAAACACACTGCACACCCACCATTTCCGCTCCTTCCCCTCCCCTAACACCCCAGCCTTACACGTGTTGCGCCTCACCCTCCTCCCAACACCCCAGCCTCGCATGTGTTTGGCGAGTTTGACCCCGGATACGCCGCCTCACTGAGAGACCATGCCACCATGCTCTTTGAGCTCGCCACCACCGCCACCTCCACTGATGAGTGAGTGAGCTTCTGGCTTGTATCTCCCGCCTATGCCTATCTTTCACCCCATCACCCCACTGTCCCCTCTAGCCATGCACCACCCCCACCATGCTCTGCGTCTCTGCCTCTGTTCACCACCCCCTCTATTCTCGCCCAACATGCTGTTGCAATCCACCCCTATGTGCGTGCTACCCACAGCAGCACTAAGCCCCGCCAGCCTCTAGGTACTCTCCCCTACCAGCCACCCCCATCCTCCTCGCCTGAATTCCACCATGAGCTGCACAGGGCGGCATCAGGGTTGAAGTCCAATGCCGTTGCATTCCTCCAACGTGTCGCAATCACCCCTGTGTCCATGCAACCCAACCCCCACCAGCATCACTCCTCCCGGGACTCTCCTTTACCAGCCAACCCCATCCCCCTCGCCTGAATTCCACAATGAGCTGCACAGGGCGGCGGCAGGTTGTTTTTGAGAATTCTAAAAAACGAGCTGAACGCTCATGCTTTCGCTCAAGGCTCGCGAGTCACACCTCTTCCTCATGCCGTTCCATTCCTCTCCCATGTCTGGACACTCGCTACCACACCAGCACGGCTCTTCCAGGGACTCTCCCGTACCAGCCTCCCCCATCCTCCTTGCCTGAATTTCACGATGAGCTGCTCTGGGCGGCGGCTTGGCTGTGGCGCACCACCATGTCTGACCCCCTGCACCAATTCCTGCTCAAGGTGACTTGTCTTGCCACCTGGTGGGTGCCTCCTGTCCCAACTTGCTACCGGCTTGGCTATGGCGCACCACCATGTCTGACCCCCTGCACCAATACCTGCTCAAGGTGACTTGTCTTGCCACCTGGTGGGTGCCTCCTGTCCCAACTTGCTACCGGCTTGGCTATGGCGCACCACCATGTCTGACCCCCTGCACCAATACCTGCTCATGGTGACTTGTCTTGCCACCTGGTGGGTGCCTCCTGTCCCAACTTGCTACCGGCTTGGCTATGGCGCACCACCATGTCTGACCCCCTGCACCAATACCTACTCAAGGTGAGTTACCTTCCCTCCCCAACTGGTGGGTGCGACGTGCCTACCTTCCCTACTTGCTAGCTACCAGCATGGCTATGGCGCACCACCATGTCTGACCCCCTGCACCAATACCTACTCAAGGTGAGTTACCTTCCCTCCCCAACTGGTGGGTGCGACGTGCCTACCTTCCCTACTTGCTAGCTACCAGCATGGCTATGGCGCACCACCATGTCTGACCCCCTGCACCAATACCTACTCAAGGTGAGTTACCTTCCCTCCCCAACTGGTGGGTGCGACGTGCCTACCTTCCCTACTTGCTAGCTACCAGCATGGCTATGGCGCACCACCATGTCTGACCCCCTGCACCAATACCTACTCAAGGTGAGTTACCTTCCCTCCCCAACTGGTGGGTGCGACGTGCCTACCTTCCCTACTTGCTAGCTACCAGCATGGCTATGGCGCACCACCATGTCTGACCCCCTGCACCAATACCTACCCAAGGTGAGTTACCTTCCCTCCCCAACTGGTGGGTGCGACGTGCC